TAAAATAAACCACCCACAAAAAGACAACCATAGTATAATTCCACTCAGATGACGATTTTAGAGCTGTCAAAAGTAGACTGTCATTACCTGTGCTGCTGAGGAGAAGGAAGCTGCCATTTAATGGGTTAAAAGTTTCAATTTTACAAAATGTAAAGCCTGCAGAGGTGGATGGTTGTGACTGATGCACAAAATTTATTTTATGTATTTATTTTTTTGTCAGTCGTGGGGCTTGAACTCTGGGCCTGGGCGCTGTCCCTCAGCTCTTCAGCTCAAGGCGAGCGCTCGACCTCTTGAGCCACAGCGCCACTTCCGGTTTTCTGGTGGTTTATTGGAGATCAGAGTCTCTTGGATTTTCTTGTCATTTCTGTGCCCCCCCCCCCCGTGCCCCCAGCTGGCTTTGAACTTTGAACGGTGATCCTCAGATCTCAGCCTCCTGAGAAGTTAGGATGACAGGTGTGAGCCACTGGTGCCCAGCAATGATGCACAATATTACAAATGCATTTTTAGTTCTACTGACTGTACCCTTAGAAGTAGTTAAGACAGGGGCTGGGAAGGTGGCTCAGTGGTAGAGCGCTTGCCTTGCATGCATGAGGCCCTGGGTTCGATTCCTCAGCACCACATAAGCAAAAAGAAAAAAGCCAGAAGTGGTGCTGTGGCTCAAGTGGTAGAGCGCTAGCCTTGAGCTGAAGAGCTGAGGGACAGCGCCCAGACCCAGAGTTCAGGCCCCACAACCGGACCCCCCCCCCAAAAAAAAAGTAGTTAAGACACTACATTTCATGTTTTTATTTTTCCGGTCATGGGGCCTGAACTCTGGGTCTGGGCGCTGTCCCTCAGCTCTTCAGCTCAAGGCGAGCGCTCTACCACTGGAGCCACAGCGCCACTTCCGGCTTTTTTCTTTTTGCTTATGTGGTGCTGAGGAATCGAACCCAGGGCCTCATGCGTGCAAGGCAAGCGCTCTACCACTGAGCACCTTCCCAGCCCCCACTACATTTCATGTTAAGCTACTTCACAATAAGAACAGAGAAACAGGTAAAGAGATGGAAAAAAGTATATTATGCAAAAACTAATAATTTTCTTTTTAAAAAAGCCAGAAGGACTTTAATATTCTCAGAAAAACTTCAGAGCAAGAAGAGTTGAGGGGGATGAGGGTAATTATGTCATAGGTCAGTTTCCAAAAAGACTCATATGAGCCCCTGAAAACAAAGTGTAAAACTAAATGATGCAAAAACAAAACAAAAAAAAGCACTGCAAGGAAAAGCAGATGAATCCACTATCTTAAGTTGGAATTTTCAACAAACAGCAGACAGACTCTATAGGCAGAGCACCAGGAAAGGATATGCATGCTAACTCCCTTACATCATCAATCGGCTGTGCAGACATTTTTAGATCACCTGAGAGAAGAACACACATTCTTCTGGAGCCACCAGGGTAAATCACGTTCCATATGAAACACGCGTTCATAAATTCAAGAGTAGCAATCAGGGCTGGGGTGAAGCTCAGTGGCAAAAGTGCTGGCCCAGGATGTACAAAGGCCCTAGGTTGAACTCCCAGTACCAGAAAAAAAAAAAATCACACAGTATGTCATTAGCCCATAATGTTTAGAAATTAAACCTGACGCTGCATTACAGCGCTCACCACCCACCCAGCCCCAGTGCTGGGCGCGCCAGGGCCCGGGGCAGCTGGGCAAGTTCTCTCCAGATGTATTTTTTCTTCTAGAACTTATTACTTTTTTCTTTTGCAACTACTTTGAATTTTCAAATAACTTAATTTCAATAAAAAATAATGTATCACTGGCAACGCTCTGTATAGTATCTTTACAATAAAAAACTAAAAAAAATGTATCACTGGCATAAAGGCATTTAAAAATATAAACTAGGGTTCAAAATGTTTTTCTTTTTTTTGTGCTGGAACGGGGGCTTGGACTCATTGTCCCTGAGCTTTTGGCTTGAGCTTTTTTGCTCAAGACAGTGCCACAGTTCCACTTCTGGCTTTTTGGTTGTGAATGTAGATAAGAGTCTCACAGACTGTCCTCAGATCTCAGCCTCCTGAGTAGTTGGGATAACAGGGGTGAGCCAACAGCCAGTTATTAACTACAGTCTCTACATACCCTGAGGACACTCTAACTTCTATTATTCTTCTGGGCTATTTCCACCAACTTTTCCCCCTCTACTGCTTTTTTTTTTTTTTTTTTTTGATACAAGGTCTTTCTACAGTGCCCAGGGTAGAACTTACCATGTAGCCCAGTGCCCTTGAACTGCCGATCCTCCTACTTCTACTCAAGTGCTGGGATTACTGGCATGTACCATCATGAACAATTTTACGAATTAATTCTTGAACATTTCAACCAGTACCATTATATGATAGAAAATTCTATTATCTTTCCTCAGGACTAGGAAAAAATAACCTGTATTGTACTATGTCTCTGAAAAATGCTTTGAAAAGCATTTCACTGAAGACATCACTAAGAGTTCAAGTCAAGCTGCACTCAACAAAAGTCTAAGCCTGACTCTGAGTAGGTGCTGAGTAATTATTGAAGTGGAATATGACAAACTCTTTCCTAAGCCTGTGTGACAGATCTCCCCATTGTGTCCTTCCCCAGCAAACAGGTTCCCCAAGGAAGAAAGCATGAATGAGGCCTGCAGACTTCTTTTCCATGGGGTGTTAGACTCTTTTTCAGTTGGGACTCTCTGTTTTAGCAGAGTTTTAAGAAAATTATAAATGTGACTGACTAAAGATAACCTTAAGCCAAAATAACTGGTATAGCAAAAATTTTTAAAAAGTTAGAAAGGCAAAGAAAGCTAGATAGGTACAAAGATTGACATTAATTAAAAATTTCACTTATAAGTCTAAGATGCTAAATATTCAAACAAGGTTCGAGAAGAAATTCATATAAACCAACTGTTTTCTAGATCTTCAAGGCCTATCCTGTCAGCCCTTCAACTACCTCTCCACAGCCTCAGAATATAATTTTTTTTTTTTTTTGGGTGCCTGTTGTGGGGCTTGAACTCAGGGCCTGGGCGCTGTCCCTCAGCTCTT